CGAGGTTGGGCGAATACACCAGCTATGACGGAATTCAATTTACGAAGAATTTGGATTATCAATTTTTTACCGCCGTTATTTCCATGCATAACTGATGAACCTTTAAGGGATATCTGCCGCTGGTGGTTTTGAATTAAAACAACGACGGGAGTTGATACGACAACGTCACTGGCTAGACGTATCGTTCAGATATCAAGCGTGGAAAATGAAAAATATCCAACTTATACTGCGAGCTTTCAGGAAGTTGTAGAGAATATACATATATATAGTGTTCAATAAATCCCGATAAAACCAGTGAAGAAACGTTGATTCACAAATACAGAACAAATTGTTTCGAAACTGAAAGAGATATCATCTGAATGTAACATCTGAATCGAATAAAAACATTGCTAATAAAATATATTCGATCTCCAAAAAAGGAATGTTATAAAGGGCCTAATTTCTACTCCAAAAAGATAAAGTAAAAGGAACGATTTTTGTAGAATTTTATCGTGAAAAAACCTGAAGGTCAAAATCTACAAAAAATATTATTTCTTTTACATTTTTTAAGCACAAATTGGCCCTTTTCTAACATCCTTCTTCTCAATTGTAAAACGTAGGAGAAGAAAACTTTCCTGCTCACATGCAAATCACTCCGACATGCAACATACACGCACATATCTATTTCGTAAAGATATGTCGTCGTATTCGCGTGTCTGGCACTTAAATCGAACCCGCGTCCCGCGAAATTTCAGTCGACACTCCGGTAAAAGCCTTTCGAGACTTTTAGAATGGAGCGCGGACGATGAAAATGGCACAGGAACGTCGGAAACAGGAATAAATTTCAGAATGCGGTTCTCTTTTTTCCGATGCATCCGTCCGATTCTTTTCCGCATCGTCTTCTCCCTCGCGATTCCATCGAACCGCTTTATGACATTTGCGATGTTCGCGAAGTATATGAGTGAGTGGAGCGAAGAAATCTTCGATAGGTACGATGATGGCGGCAGAATCTTTTCCAGAATGTTATGCGACTGTGAAAAAGAAATTATTTGCATGAAAAAATTAAAATATTGAATTGTGACGTAGCGTAAAATTTTTATTATTTTTTGTTTAAATATATATATACATATGTGTGAAAATAATTTTAATTTGAAAAGTAACTTGTAGCAAAATACAAATATTACAATTTTTTATTCTAAAAACAGAATACGAAAAGTTTTGTATTATTTTAGGAATATATAAACAGAAAATTTTTAAATAGGTATTTCAATAGCGTTAAGAAATTTATATAATATATTTATGTAAGTTATATAAGTTTTAATATGACAAATATTAATTTTTTTATTTCAAAATTGATTATTAAAATCGAAACCTAATATACATAAAATTTTATTCTCAAATGTCTACTTTTTCATATAAAATTGCTATTCCATCACGACTGTATATCATCAATAATAGGTAAGTCTATGAATTGTATTGTTGTCAAAAATCACAGGAACTAAAACTACTATTTTTCAAGTTCAGTAAAAATTCGCAAAGGGTATGTTTCAAGTGGAAAGGCAGATCCCTCAGGTTGTGAAATTTATTCACGTTCATTTTTGATGTATGTATGTTCGCCTACCGCGCAAGATTTAATACGAAAGTCGAAGAGACTTAACCCCTTGGAGTACCGACGGGTGTGCGTCTCCTGGGCGTTTATTTAAATTCTTGCTGCAGCAACTCTGTGTGTTGAGATCTCTCCCTATGGCGAATATATTGCCAGAAATTATTCAAATTATATGAGAAGTATTATAAATATTTTACTATAACAGTACGTTAATAAATATGATTCAATAATTAAATAAGTTTAGAGACATATTTTTTGTTCTTTCTGTCTCTGTGGAAATACAGAAAAATTGTTCCGATATCGTGTATTCGATAAATTCAATAACTATTTAATAAGATAATAATTATTCAATAATTATTTAATAAGATAATCCTTCAATACGTTGAAAATGTCAAGCGCTATATTTTTTATTAAAGTAGAGAAACAATATCAATCTTTTTGTTAAACTTCAAAAGAAATTATAAAATGTCATAAGGTATACGATATATTTTTATCCCGATTCACGGAAAAAAATTGGATCCTCTAAGATGACACATACTTGCTTTTGTTACTAGACACTTTTTCATTGTACGCGTTGCGCTTTTTTTCTACTACTTTATTTTCTCTCTTCTCCTAATTAAAAAATTACACAAAAAACGTACATTATTAGTGCAAAAAAATACTGAAAATATTGTATTTCCGTTTATATTTATTTAGCTCATTAAAAAATCAGTCAAATCGTTATTCAAATTACTAGTCTGAAAAACAGAAGTTTTAAGCTTTTAAATCTTTTTAATAATTTCATTGTAATCTTTTTTGATAAAATTATTATCTTGAAAATTGTCTATTTTTAGAGAATAGGTGATCTCTTAATTTTTTGGCATAGTGCACAATTGTGAATAAAAATATATTATATGTAAAATATATATAAATATATGTGTGTGTATTTATGTATCTGATTATCATTTTCTTAAATAAAAATTTTTAATGACTTATTTATTATATACATATATGTATATACCTATATATGTATATAGTGATATCGCTAAACAAGTAAATTTATCATTTATTTAAATATACATATATATATTCTTTTATATATTATTTTCTTTCTCATAAAAGCACCTGGTTAAAATATAATGCAAATTACGAAAGGGTTAACGTATTGCACATTGGTAGTAAGCGAAATGTTCATTCGAACGAACTTGCTCGCCACGAGTTCGGCAAACGGCAAAGTTCCGAGGCTGTGGTAAATCGAGGCTCGAAATGCCGTATAATTCCGCAACTCACGAAAACCTTTCATCTCGTGAGGAATTAATTTATACGAGCGTGTTATCGGATGAAGCCGAACCCTTCTCCCAATGCTATCCGGAGGGCTCGCGATGGAATCCCTGACTGAATTGAAATTGTTCGCGAATGAAATTTCCGAGGTGTGCTCTCAAGCTTCGGAATCAAGCCTTAACAAACTTCAAATGAAAACGCGAACGGGTGCCAAAACTTTGCCCGGACCGACCGGACAATGTACGACGGTTGGAGAAGAAAAATTGCCGCGAACATCCCTTATGCGAGGAATCAGCGTGATTAATTACGAGGTCGCTTTTTGTCGCTCGCATTCAGGTCGTTGAGTTGATTCGAGTGTCCCTCCACAGCTGACGCACGTCCTTAAAAGGGTACCTATAGTTGAGTAATGTGCGCTCTCTTTGACTGTCATGCACTCCTTTACTATCGATAATATGTATGCTCTATCTATAGCAACAGACGGCAATGTTTGATACCGTACAGAGTTGTAATCACAATTCCAATGCAATAACGACATTAAACTGGTGATTACTCTCTTTTTCCTATCTCTACACACAAACGAAGAGAACATAATTCTTTTACCCGTATTAAATTTCATAATTTAATACGCGCGCAGGAGATGTTTAATATCGTATGACTACAATTTTAATTAGAGAGCCGCTCTAATTCTGATTGTTACATCAGTAATTATTCAGAGCCGACCGTTAATCACGGTTGGATATAATAGTGTGCGAAGGAGCCAGCATTTGGCACGTGATAATGTCAAATGTAACTGATCAATATAATGTGGTAACTTCAGCAAACTACTCTTATACATTCACTCTCCTCCAAGCAAAGATTTCTTCCTTTTTACTCTCCGTTCACTATACATGTAGGGTGTAGACCGAGGCGAATCGGATCACGGGGAGAATTGGATCAATATATATTTTGAGACAGTTAATCGATATTTGTCATTAGTTTCATTATTTATTTGTTTTAAAGAAGCTATTTTTGAGAAATAAAAAAAGTAAAGATCAATAATAAATATCGATCTCCTCAAAATTTACATTAATCCGACTCACTCTACGATCCAATTTGCCTCGGCATATCCTACTGCTAAATTTTTCCTCTCTAAAATATTAATTTATTGTGCTCAGGAACGAATTGCAATCAGAATATACGACCACAAATGCTATAAATACCTTCATTCAATGCGTGTGAGCAGGCACGTACAGTGAGTGAGAACTTTAAACACGTTGCCTTCTACTACGTGATTGCGACCGACGCTCCAATCAGGAGCTAAGAGAACATCGTTGATTCTCGGTTTATTGGCGTGCGTGCCAACGATGTTACCGTCGATATGAAAGTTTCGCGCTCTTTCCTCATGGGAAATGAGATCGGTGTTCTGAAAGAGACAGCTATATCTGACTGTCGCCGTGAATTCCACTGTTCTTAATGAAGATGATAATTTCGGCTTTTATCCAATAATTTGATTATTCTGTTATTATACCAATTTGTGTTTTAGCTTAACAATTATCATCAATAACTGTCTCGTATACGATTTCACATGTATAATATATCGAATAAAGGTATTTAAAGCAAAAATAGAGATAATTTGAGAGAAAATAACTCTAATGTTTTTGAAAAACAGTAATTTTTAAGAAAATATTTTAAATATACGTATATAAAAATTGCATGATTTCGAAGAGAACATTGAATGACTTCAATACATATTTCTTGTAAAATATTGTCATTTTTAAATATATTTCAATTTATGTGTGTGCATCTATAATAATATTAAATAAAACTGTGGTCAAAATACATAATTTAAGAATGCAATATAAATTCAATATAAATTTGAAGCGCTTTGAATTTACATGGTTTCCAGTAATTAACTTACACTGAATAATCAAATTTTAAATAATAAAGATACAGGATATCTTTAGAATAACATGGTCGCGTGCTCAGTGCGGGCCGCGCTCACAAACGAAGTGAAGCACTGGCATCAAATATTATCAGAATAAACCGTTAGCTAAAAAGATCTCATTTAAAAGAAGTCGCTATTAATTGCTCATTAAATCTCTTGTTATCTAAAAATCTATCAAACAATGTGTCAATTATACGATACGTTTTTTTCTCGGTTTTTCTATCTACTTACCTTGTAGGAATTGTGGACCTCCGAGAGAAGAAACATCGAAGGTTTACAGGACTCTTCTCTGTCTTCTCCTTTGCTAATACGTGTATACACCTCACGTACTTTTTCTCCAGAAAAGAAGGTTTGAAAGGAAACGAGAGAGAGAAAAATAAATAAAAGCAAAAGTAATTATCAAGCTGCAAATTTAGAAAAAAAAAAAGAAAGAAGAGGTAGTCTCAAGATCGCGCGCGTATGGGAGAGCTTCCTCTAGCTTGCGACGATACGCGAACCGCAACGGCCAAGTGGCGCAACTGAACTCAGCTGAACCGAGTCGGAGCTTAAATTACCGAAGAGAGAGAAGGCGGCGAGGGTGGTAGCGGCGCTGATGGTGGTAGTGGTGGTGGAACAGAGGGTGAGAATCGCGTCGTCTCCCTCGCATCGATTTACTGACAGTGGCGCGCGCTTCGTTCTTCACGAACACTCGCGAGAGAGGCTCGTGCACTCCAGAAAAAGCGCCAAAACGCCGCGAGCTATCTCGCGAGAAGAGCGTACTTCCAGATTCAGAAATTTTTTCTCGCACGATTTGCCGCTTGAATATCGTTTATGTTGTGACTTTCTTTTTGTGGAAAATTGAGACTTTCCAGAGAGAGAGAGAGAGAGAGAGAGAGAGAGAGAGAGAGACAGAGGTTTTCAAAACACTCCCTTGAGCATATCAAGATTATCAATTTTCAAGAAATTGCTTGTAAGATGAAAATTATCTCGTAGTAATAGTGATTGAAAACGTTCGCTCGCATTTTAAAATGTAACATGATTTAAAAAGATAGAGAGAGAGAGAGAGAGAGAGCGCGAAAGAATATTATTTTTTAAACAAATGACTTTGAAGAAAAATTGACAGTAAATTCTATTCGATTTTTACCGCCGATTCGCTAAGTTAATTTTTCAATATTTAAACAATTATTATTCGTTTTTGTTTTATAGAATTAAAAAATATTTGAAAAGTTGCATTAAACAAGAAATATCTTAATTATTTATAAGTAAAGTTTTCACATAGTATCCATTTATAGAAATTTAGAATTTATAGTCAAATATTTATTTAACTCAGAATTAACAAACAATTATAAAAAGCAATTTTGAACTATAAAATCTACGAAACGTTTCTCCTTTTCATTCCGTGTTACTTTTAATAAGAACCGAAGGACCTCGTACATTCTGCGATCGATTCGCTATAAGACAGTACCTCTTATGCGCAGCCAAAAGCCTTATGGCAGTTGGAGGGCAAGAGGAATGGAAGATACTCAAGATATTTTGTTCGAAATGAATATTACCCTCTAGAAAGTACTAGTGGCGCAAAACTCGCAAACTACGGCACGGTTATATCATACAATGAAAGTTACAATGAAAGTTAAGTTTTAGAAACGTGAAAATTGAGGAAATCGATGAATGCGATAACCAGCATCGAGAAAATTTCAGGAACATAGGAATGTAACTCGTAATGCGACTGACAAAAATCTGATGATAAACGATTCAATTTCCAAGCAATCTTATTCATTTACTCGACATGTTTTAAGCAACATTATTCATTGTATCTGTATAAAATATATAGTCGGTATATTTTATAAAAATATGAGATGACTGAAATAAAAGAATAAGTCTAACTTTAAATTATGTTTAAAAATTAAAATAATGGAATTTCTATGTTTTAATTAAGTATTTACATCAATTATTTCTATATAACATAAAAAAAAATCAAAAAAATACTAATTCTTATAAGCGACATTTATAAAAAATTTAAATTAGAAATAGTGACTAAAATAATCTGAAATAAAAAATAAATATTATGTTCTTATTTTTTGTACTTACAGCTATCTGTTCACGTATAGAAAAATCAGAATTTTTCTATACGTGATTTTTTAAATTAAAACTTTTTTAAAATTTTAATTTCATGTTTAAAATTTGAAAAACGGCAAAAAGAACGATCATTATCTTGATAAAAAAAATTAAACTACCAAAATTTTTTTCAAACTTTTGCGAAGGCCAACCTTTAATGAAAATATCCGTGGTATACCTATATTCGGAACGTATGTAAGGTTTTTTTGTATAATACTTCTCGATGGTGTTTTTGGTTAACCAATGACAATTAATTCCAACAACAAGGTTTCAGTAATAAAATTCACCACGTAAGTGGAAAAAGGTCCCCACGGGAAGAGATACTCTTACGGTCGAGATTCGTCTTTGCTGAAATCAGCGTTTTCCGAAACGCGATCTCAGGATGCTCAGACCCATGTCTACCGTCGATATGCTTCAACCACCATTCGCTTGTAATTGGTATGATCGTTATTTCGGCACTCATACTCCCGACTGAAATTCCCCGTGCTAATTAGTATTTGAAGCTCGCGGCGCGATTATTCACGATTTGGCAGTGATATTCCTGATAGCTGAAGGTTGTATTGTTATAACCCTTTGGTGAGCAACATGCCACAGTTAAAATACCTCGAATAAGACTATAACATTTAACGTTGAAATTCTCAATACTAAGAAACCAATATCCCTTTTCTAGAGATATGTATAGCTTTGCACGTCAAACTATCAAATTTCTGGTATGAAACAACGCATCTCAACTTAACTTATCTCATTAATATACATTGAAAGTTATACATTATTAGTGCGTCAACTTAATGCACACAAAAGTGAGTTGATTATGGTGCGCTTGATTACACCCATTACTGAAACCGGTAGTGAAGAACCGTGCAAGGTTAACGTGCGTGATTAACAATTCAAGTTTATATAACTTTATTATCGGGCCTGTGTTCTCGAGCGCTTCATTAATAATTCGGCGAAAAAGCAAAAACGCGAGAATTCGCCAGGGAGAGGAGCGATTTTGCATGCATCATCTTGACGACCTTCTATTCGTCCTGCGCGTGACACGCAAGTGATTGCGTTATCGCGCGATGGTAGTCCAACTGAGAAAACGAAAAAATATATAACGAACATAAAAATAACGTTGGTAACGATAAAAATTCGCACGGGAACGAGCGACACGAAAACCGTTCGAGTTTCTGCTGTCGCTTCTTCCTTTTTTTTTCCCCCTGGCGCAATGAGGACAATATATCGGGGATTTGGATTTTAACGATTTTTCAGCAGTGATGTTTTGCAGCAGTTTGCTCTCGGTGTTGTATATGTTCGAATAAAAAAAAAAGGCGCCGACTCTTGTCAAGAAAATTTGTACAACTATTTTACACAAAAAATATATTACTTTAAAATTTCATTTCTTGTGCTACACTTAGCGGTACACTTGAAACCTGTACTTCATGCTTTAGTCGACTAATTAATAGTTTGAAAATATTAATTACATCTAATGAGTTTAGTCTCGATATGATATAAACGAATGAATAAACGATAGAGCGACGAAGAAAAAGATAGCCTTTAGCATCTTTATGAAATATTAATTTTTTACGGTGACAACGTGACAAATGGACCACGCGTCTTTTTCTCACACATTTATTTCTGTTATATTTTATTCGTATATCATCTGTATATTTTCTACTCCTAAAATAAATTTCGTGTTTCATCAAGCACAAATAATTTACAGTTAGAAATTTCACATAATTAGATTTTACTTTTATGAAATTAGAGTTTGAATTTTTATTACAAAGCTCAATACAACACTTTCTCATAAAGTTTTATAGCTTTATTATAAAGATATGTAAAGATATATACAGTGAGTCAAAAAGATTTTTCCAATACAGGACAACCATTCTTATTGTCCTTAAAGACACATAATACCCAGTTAACCATGCAAATAATTTCAAAACATCCTGTATTTAAACATGTAGATGACATCTTACAAATGACAGAAGCAATTATTCTTTCATTTGCAGTTACTACTCATCAGCGAAACAATCCGACAACTTGATTCTTGCTATTAACGGTGTAATGAGTATCCGTCCGTTGTAAATTTTTAATTAAAATATTCTCCTTCAAGGATCCTCTGGGATTTCAAGCAAAGAGATATGGAGGTCTTGATGCGGGAGGTCGTGGATCCATTTAGAAATCTCGAGTCTGATTACATGATAAGAGGAAAAATTCTCGCGGGAGGCATTGACGGGGTAAATCGGCGGGGTGACAGATAAAAATAGTGTGAACGAGGAGTCGGCCATTGCGGGAAAGACCAATATAAATCGAAACGGTTTCCTTATCCATCTTCCATAACCGATAGCTCATCGTTTCTGCAGAAAGGCGAAGGAAGGTCGAATCCTGACATCTCCCGCGGCGAGTACCTCTTTACAGTAACGTGTAACTGCACATCTAAAGGGAGATTTAGAGGTTTACCTTTCCCCCCTACAGGATGCTCGATCGCATTTTGTCAAGAAGGAGAATTTTGTAAGAAGCGTTTTTCAATCGTGAAAGCGATTCTTTTTACAGTAACTTCTTTTTACAGTAATCGTGAAAAAGAAAAAATAAGAATTATATAAAAATATAAGAAAGAATTATATAAAATTTTCTTCCGTATATATTTTATTTAAGATAATTGAAAATTTTTCTTTATTATTATTATTATAAAAGTTAATAAAATTATATAAGAAAATATTTTTAAAATATATACAGAGGGTTTTTAAATCACCGGATATTGTTTTTATTAAGTCTTTAGTCTATATATAATCAATTTCTTTCCAACAAAATAAAAGCGTATAAAATAAATAAAATGTATGCGATTAACTTTTAAGAAAGAAAAAGTAAATATTATAAATTGTAATATATATGTATAATTTTTTTAATAATCATAATCTTTAATTAATTAGAATTAGAATTTATTATAATAAAGTCTCAATCAAAAATTTTTAGTAAATAAAAATGAGTCATATTAAAAATTGAAAAATTGTTATAAATTATCTCTTTGACATATTTTGTTAAACAAATTATTATCCCTGTATTGGATGTAAAAGCAGCACGATCGAAGAAACATTTAACATTTCCGAGATACCTTGTACTATTATCTTATTTTATGACGCGTTTATTGAATTAAGTTTCTCGATTGATTAATAATTCGCGCATCAAAAATTTCATTCAGTGTAACAGCGGTTGAG